GTGTACATCGAATCGCTCACAACTTGTAGCCAAGGCTCGGAACCGGTTTAAAAAATACCGGTTAATACCGGTTTATTTCGGTTTATCTCCGAACTTTTCTTAAGAACGTAAACGTTTTAAGAACTTTATTTTAATCTAAATAAACCGGTTTATAGACGTACGACGTCGCTAAACGCGTTGCAACTTGTACGAATACCGCGCTGCCGCGCATAGCGGCGAGGTATGAAGACGTAGGTACTAGCGATATTTCTTTTCATTCGATATATTTTGTTTACCGATTAGTTTGGTCATTATCAGCTTAACTTCACGAAAAAAAAATTAGATGTTTACTCATTTTTTTATGTTTTTGCTGCGGAGCTTATTGATGCAATGACACAAATTTCCGATCCGAAACAAAAAAATCTTACTATTGAATAAAATCTAAACAGTACGCGGCATTTCTTTACAGTGCGTCCATATTAACCGGTTTTTATTGCTCTTAACCGTTTAATTCGAAAAAACCTTTATATTAATGCTCTTCCAAATAACGGTTTAAAAAAACCGGTATATAAGAACGAAACCAAAATGTAAAGGTTTTGCGTCAAGTACATAATAACGGTTAGAAAATTTAACCGGTATCCGAGCCTTGCTTGTAGCATATTTGAGGGAATACCTTCTTGCTCACTGTGTGAGGCAAAAGGGAGAGTGAGAATCTTACTGACTAATATCACCCTGATCTAAGTCCTGGACCAGGTCTGGGCCACGGTACATTTTTGCATTTTTTATGTGATAGGTCGGCAAGCGAGCTAGTGGATTAGGGATTTGGATCTTTTGGGGATTAGGGATTTGGAGATTTAGCGATTGGAGGAGGGGAAGGATTGGGCCTCCGGTTACCTCACTCACACAGCGAAAAACAACGCTGTGGTTGTTCCACGCCGGTTTTCTGTGAGGCCGTGGTATTACTTCGGTCGACAAGTCTGTAAGCCGACCCATCCGTACCGAAGCATGGCTCTCCCACACTTCAGGTTATATAAAATCATTCGGGTTATATCAAAGATAAATCACCGTTTGAACTTAGGACTTGCGTAAACGGAATTGCATGTAATTGTTTACTTATCGCATTTAAAATATGCATACAATGGTAATGGTAATACATACATAACCATGCATCACAAAAAAAGTAAATGCATTAAATTTATTTTACCAAATGTTAAAAGTAACCTATGTGATGATATATTATTAAATGATCAGAAACTAGAATTTGTAAAAGAGACTACTTTCCTGGGGATCACTGTAGATGAGAAGTTGCAATGGGGGCCCCACATCAGGTCTCTAGCAGGACGATTGAGCTCTGCAGCTTATGCTGTCTGGAAGATCCGTCAGCTAACCGATGTAGGCACGGCAAGACTAGTGTACTTTAGCTACTTTCACAGCATCATGTCGTATGGAATTCTGTTGTGGGGACAGGCATCCGACGTTGAGTCTATCTTTATCTTGCAAAAGCGTGCCGTCAGAGCCATATATAACTTAGGTCGTCGCGAATCTCTCAGAGAAAAGTTTAAGGAGATCAACATTCTGACCGTACCGAGTCAATTTATTTATGAAAACATTATGTATGTTAGGAAGAACCTACACTTATTTGTAAAGGTATCTGACAAACATGATTATCATACTAGACATAGGAATAGATTGAGTCAGCCTTTATTTAGATTGGCAAAAGTGCATAAGTCATTTCTAGGTTTCTGTGTTAAATGATATAATAAAATCCCAGTTGAAATTCAAAATCTAAATGAAAGCAAATTTAAATTATGTATAAAGAAACATTTATGTAAACTAGCATACTACAAACTAAATGATTATATACAAGATAAAAATGCTTGGAGGCTAGCTGGTCCTACTCCACAGGATGTTTAGAGGAATTTTTGATTTTAATTATTAAATTGTACACAATGTTGTTAATTTTTGATGAACTTCTAAGTTTTTGTAAATGTGAGTACCCTGTAACCTATTATAATTAAGTAAGACTTGTAGAATATAGGTACTTGTGTCAGCTGGGAGCTGTCATGCTCACTCAGAGGTCTCATTGGCGGTGGCACGGGCACTGGATCGCCCAATTCCCTATAATATGGTTGAGTTGGGCGGTGCTGGTGTACGTGTCATGTTCGTGAACGGGCGCCGCCAATTGGGACTGGTCATCTCCAGGCTGTCTAAATATGTTGTCCTTGAGGTTCACTTCTTTTTCGTACTTTTTGCCTGAACATTAGTGTTACATTGTTCTCACATATCAGAACCGACTAAATGATGTAACAAAGAAATGTATTGTAAAACTGATTGAAAAAGAGTAACCATGGAGTTTCTTGCTCGTTCTTCTCCATAGGAATCTACATTTTGGAACGAGCAAATAGCTTCACTAGAGGACGGACGGACAGTCTGACACGCTTAATTTTAAAGCTCATATTATATACTTTTTTCCTTTTTTGCTTGCTTGACGTTCAAAAGTGCCTACTGTGGTCTAATTGAAATAAATGATTTTTGACTTTGACTTTGATCACTAAGTTACATAACTCGCCTGTGTTGTATGAAAAAAGCAATCATAAATAATGTCTACAATAATTATGTTGATTCAACACCCACGCATACTTCACGTATCTTATCTATCTGGTATTCATTAAACTGGGGGCACCAGTACATGCCGTGGGGGGTAATATTTGCCACATACGCCGTAGGTTTTTATACTGGGTGAAAGAAGAACCCTTCCGAAACTGAAACCCTATTAATATCACGAACGTACTGGCGCGTAGCTTTCCGCGCACGCGTCGGAGTCAATAACAGAATAGACCATCACATACGGACCCTAACAGGACCGATGTTCAGCTACGACTGCAAGGCAAACGCAATTAGGCATCGCGGCGTCGATCCTGGAGCAGGAGAAGGCCTTAGTCAGTGAGAGTCCGACTCTCCTTGTCGCCATATACTAGGCGAGAAAAAAGATTAAATGTTTATCCCTCAAAAAAAAAAAAATTAGAAATGTTTTTTAATTTCGCCTGTTTAATTTTTTACGAATATCAGGTTACAAACAACTGAATAGTTTTTAGAAGCAACTTTCACTTCCCTGTCCAGCCCACCTTAGAGCCAACTCGAGGTTGTAGGTGCTAGCGCAATGATTTAGATAATACCTCTGTCCATCGAGGAGCAAGAGTAAGAGTCTAACATCTAACATACTTTTTATAATAACTATCGTGAGACATACTAAGTTAACTAAAAATCGCGGGTTACTCAAGTGTATATATTGAGAAAAGCTCTACTAGTTTCGAACCACAGAGGGGTTCTTCCTCATGAGCAGCGTGCGCGGACGCGGCGACGTCGCGCAGCCTACTGCTTTTCTCAATATATACACGTGAGTAACCCGCGATTTTTAGTTATCTAACATACTGACCCCACACTACAAACTAACAACTAAAAAAAGGAACCAAGGTGACAGTCGACTTCACCCACTGCACCTGTCATTAGTAAAAATAATATTATTTTCTGTTTTTATATAGTAAATAAATGAACTAAAAAAGCATTAATAAAAGATTGACGCAAAAACGTTACAAAAAAACAATGGTTGATTAATCATGCATTACCAATATGCTCCCAGTTCGATAATTCAGGCCATCTGGCATGAATTAATAAGTAATTGAAAACACCGACCACGAAGTTCTATGACCCCAATCGATACTTTTGTTCATATGGCCATAAATTTTTAACTTTTTTTGTCCTTTTACACTAATTTATGGGACTGGACTAAAATAAAGTTCGTATTAAGACGAACTAACATAAAACGCTTTATGCCATTCTATGCAGCGTCTATGTGTACCCCAATACTAATAAGTACCTTAAAATATACTTATATATACTTTAGAATGATCTACATTTAGCAATTAATTAAAATAACCACAGGAATAGAACTAAAAGAAAAAGACATATTTCTCTACAAGTAAGCAGAAAAAATGCCATCTGAATACAAAAAATCTACTTTCAAAACATGTAGGTACCTACTTTCCACAGAAGCAGTATCATTTATAATGGTTGATAAAACAGATTATCTTCAACCCTGTGGATTTCTAACCATCGATCAATATAGGAAAACACTTCATTTTTATTATGCTTTCGATGAAAAAGTAATAAAGTTTATTATTCAAAAACAACCATAAGTGGCCACCCATGATACTAATGTAAACGATTGAAAATAACATCATCGTATTATCTGTTGAAAACACATGACGCGTTCGAGAAAAAAAAGCAATGACTTGGCGGGAATTTACCATGCACCTTTAATTTGGCGCGAATTTTTTGACAGTGACATTTCCTTGAATTGTCATTAACCTCTGTTTACATTCTGGATTCTGGTTGATTTAACGAAAAACACAATAACTTGTTATGAAAATAATGTAGGTACATAAATTAGGAAAAGTCTAAAACTCTCAAAAGTCTGAAATAGTAGCCAGTTCTTAAGTGACAATATAATAGATGAACTTTTTCCAAAACTCATTTCATTGGTGTGCTTCTTTACCCACCTAATCTAAGATTACCAACTGTCGCCTTATACATATGTAATTATTGCCTGCACGGATGGTGCGGTGGCTGGGCAACTGGTTGCCGTGTCGCGGGTTCGATTCCCGCACGGAACAACTCTTTGTGTGATGCACAAATTGTTGTCTTGGGTCTAGGTGGCACGTTTATGTGAAATTGATGTTCGTTAACGTGCCCACCACACATTTGTTGACACACCATCCTTATGTGGGGCAAAGTGTTTCGAAGAAACTATAATGTATTTTTCGAATGAGTAGTATATCAAGACGTAAGAGAGAGCTTTTAGCCAAGTATAGTTCTTGATATTAACACATTCAGTGCCCCCGACGCGTATGTGCGTTTCCTCGCAAGCACATACGCGTCGGGGGCACTGAATGTGTTAATATTGGTGTAGGTTTTTCTTTTTAAAAGGCACCTATTTAACAATTACTTTTTCTATTCCACAGAGGCGCAACCCACTCCAACCTCGTAATATGTGACGAGACAGGCAAAGTGGTGGGCAGAGCCAAAGGTCCAGGCACCAATCATTGGACATTAGGCATAGATGAATGTGCCAACCGAATCATAGCGATGCTGCACTCTGCTAAAGATGATGCAGGAATCCCTAAAGACAAGCCTTTGAATGCTTTGGTAAGTTACCTCTATCCTCAACGTGGCTAAGATAGGCAGGAGTGTAAACTTGTAGTTTGTTTGTGTATAGATCAAAGTGTTTGAACGAACTAATATCCGAACGAATGATTACAAAATAAATTGTTTTGGATTGCCCGTAATCGGTTTTTAAAAAAAACCCTTCAGTTTATCTTACATTTTTTTCGCCAAGAGTACAGAATCTTAATCTTATTTGGAATTAAGTCGGTTTATTAAGGGATTACGATTATTCGAGGTACCCTTATTATTAGGCCTATTATCACTAAACTTGTTAGATCGACATCTATAAATACAGCAATGTTCACCAGCTGACCGCATGATGCAACCTTTTTGACCAGAATTTGAGGCACGAGGTACAACCAAGACAGTAATCATAATAATATAGAGTCGTTAGAAGTAGGAAAACTTATAAGTACTTTGAAGCAGAATGTATAACAAAGAACAATTAGGTACTGCAAGAGGAGTAAATTCATCATCATAATGGAAGCTCGTGCAATGAAGCGCCATGAACGCAAACGTGGCTCAAACCGGTGCTCAATGATTTGATTTAAATTGACAACACAACAACTGGTTTCTCATTATTACAAAGTCATTCATCATAATTCAAATTAATTACTTTTGTCCAATAAAGTATTATTAGAAATGATATCTACGATAATTACCTCTTCATAAAGTTTCATAACACAATAACCTCAAAATGACCTCAGTACAATAATACACCAACATTCAAGAAGCATCAATTATTCTATTCTTCGAACAATTCTCGTCCAATCGCCTTCAATGATTTTAACCTTTGCTTTGATAACAGGGACTTACACTGTCAGGGTGCGAGCAGGAAAGCAGTAATTCGGAACTAGCTGCCCGTGTGAAAGAAAAGGATGGCGATGCTGCGAATGATATTTACGTGGGTTCGGACACCGCTGGTTCCTTGTTCACGGGAGCTCCTAATGGAGGAATGGTGCTTATTGCTGGTGAGTTATTATAAAAGATCTTTTTTTTTTTACTTGCTATAAACTAGTGCTTGACTGCGATCCTACCTGATGGTAAGCAGTGATGCAATCGTTGATGGTAAGGCGCACTAGTTTATTAAGAGCCTATTCACTCTAGCCTTGAAGACACCTAAATTATATTTGGACGGAAAGACTGCAGCCGGCAAACTGTTCCAATCCCTCGATGTACGCGGTATAAATGACGAGGCAAAGCGCTTAGTCCGGGCCGCAGGTGTCTCAACAACGTAAGGGTGGATATTTGCCGTACGCCGGGATGTCCGAAGGTAAAATCTTCTTCATGTGTTCATTTGTCATGGGTGGATTGCGTACCATCAGGTAATCCGTCTGATCCTTTGCCGCCTTATTCCACCTACAACTGCCGTCGTAATGTGGCCTACTCGTATGTCGAGTGTTTGCGGAACAGAGTGTAAAGTTCTCTAAGAAAGTAAAAAGAGAATCCTTTCCCCAGGTGAATCGTAATATTTGTGTTTCTTCGCGCCCAAACTTTCCTTGCGCGTTTAGGATTTGTGACGTCATTAGTAGACTTTTGACCGTCGATCTTTAGATGTAGCCGGACACAAGAGGTTGCTAATGCTGGATGTGAGGTCCCAGATTTGATTGAGGATTGGGCTGAATGTAAGTGTATTAAGGTTACTCTGGCCTACTGAACGACGGTTTCCTGTGAGGCCGTAGACTCGAGTTAGCCCATTCATGCCGAAACATGGTACTCCCACTTACAGTCCACCGACCTAAACTAGTATATTAGATACTAAGTACCGTGGCAAAATAGTAAGAACATTTACCGATTCCCGAAAAAATATAGCGCACTTTTGTATTTTACCTTGTAAATGAATAAAACTGAGGTGTAGTTTAAACTAATATTAATTCAATAAAGGTTAAGGACCTTTGGTATTGCGAAACGTGTCTTTCAATGTTTTATTGACGTTACGCACGTAGAATAGAATAATTGGATGCTTAATTTTGAATATTATGATATACTAGCTTTTGCCCGTGACTTTGTTCACGTGGAAAAGTTACTTCCTGCAGATTTTTGGAATAAAAACTATCCTATGTCCTTTCTCGAGTTCCAAACTATGTCTGTACCAAATTTCACAGAAATCGGCTTAGTAGTTTAGGCGTGAAGAAAAGACAGACAGACAGACAGAGTTACTTTCGCATTTATTATATTAGTTAGGATTTTTGACCTGGCTTATCAGGGTTTATGGCCTATTTTTGGACTTATTTGGTGAATACTGTTTGCCTGTTATTGTCTAAAAGGTTAGGTGTTAAGCCAGGGTGTAATAACTTTCTCTCAGCTGCTCAGTTTTGTTTTTGTTATATTTTAGTACATTAAAATACTAAAAAACTGGGTTAGGTATTACCAAACTGCGTAGCGAGCGCGTAACTAATGTTCCTTCTTATTGTTATGAATCGCGAAATCAAAAAGGTCAACAAACACGTAACTCTTCTAGGTCAGAAAGTTGATTTTCTCTGTTATAAGGTTGAATGATGAGAATCTCTGAGTTCATAAAAAATCACGTTTAAAACAATCCTACAAAGAGAAAAAAAATAACTCTATATTCCTATTAGGAACTAACAAATATAAATTTAGAAAGAATTCCAAATTCAAAACGCTGACAGAACCATAAATAACATCCACTTTGCAACCAGTCTTACTTTTAACAAGTAGGCGCGAAATAAAAAAATTCTTAATATGCGAAGTGGCTATCGGACATTTTTATCAAATAATTTATTTCACAAATACTAGCTTGTTGTTAGCGATTACTTAATTAAATATGCAGTTACATCAGGAAGCTAGTTTGAGACCCTGACACGAATACTTTCGACCAATCAAGTGATTATTATTATCTGGCATTTGATTCTGGCGCCATTTTTTTTACAAGAACTCTTTACAAATTCTTAGCAAAACAATACACTCACTCTTCTAGAACTTCAAAGAACTTAGTAAAGTTCTACATATTCAATGGAACATGCACACATTGTTAATTATACGCCCTATGCAAATATGGCGAGATTAGTCTTGTGAGCTATCTGAAAGACTTCTGTAGATAATAACTACGCGAAGCTAAACGTACTGATTTAAATTGGACCTTTTAGATTTGATACGATGATGAACCAACTCCCAAAACTTCTGTGAGGAGTAGGTATAGGGGATTACTAAGAAAAAATAGTAAAATATTTAAGCAAAAAGGCAAACATTTTTGCTCGTATAAACCTAGTTCACACCACCTACATTTGTCTTCAAATATACAGTTTCGATTAAATAGTAATTTTATATCTTTGTGATGCAACTATGTTAATATTGAATCATTAAGTTCCCCATATTTGGTCTTGTTAGGTATAATTTTATAGAACTCGTTTCTAAAACCAGATACTTATAGTTAGAATTTTATTCAAAATAATGCGGATGTTTTGTTTTGGTGTTTAGTTCGGCACGGGCTATAAGCGTGTGTGATGACCATGTGGTGCACTTAAACCGTCAATATTTTTTCTTTTTATTAAAATATTTGACTTACGCACGTGACTTAACTTAGAAAAAAAATGAAACTGTAAAAATAAAAGTTTAAGTCATTTCGAGTCCCTATAACTATAAGATATTTATCATAATTATCATAAAGTTTATTATTCAGAATCATTGTTGACAAAGATACATTTTCCTCAAGAAAACGGACCATCAGACGCACGACAGTCAAGACTTTCTATTGTACCATAGCAACTTAATAGCCACAATTACTCGTACTATTCATAATCGTTACCCTGCACTGATTATTTTTCCTGTGCCATCATTGGTGCATTTCTAAACATACAATTTTACATACAAATCATACCCAGATCCGGTGTAGCAATTTTTGGTACTTACCAACATTTGTTCCGTGAGGGAATTGAATTTGCGATGCGTTATACCCAACCATGCCGTCAACAGAGCAGTATTAATTATTGTCAATTTTAGATAACTTCGATAGTAAAGGCTTATTTCACTATATCTGGATATAAACTTTTTTTTATCAGATTTTTAATATAAAAACTAACATATCGAATGCTTAAAGCTTGAAGTTGGTGAAACAGCTTCTACGTCTGATGTAAAACACAAAGTTACCTACAGTTCGCAAGTCTTTTTATCAAAAAGATTTTCTAAGACCCACAGTGTCAGACAATGTACTTATAAATATTACGTGTGGGAAAGAAATAAATAATCACACGGTCGAGAATTTATTTGCCTTGAATTGAGCAAAACAATGAGAACTGTACTAGAAATAAAAGTTATATTTTTTAATTTTAATGTAGACTACTAGATGTAGGTCAACTAAGTCGTTACAAGGTTCATGAAAATTGGTCACATAATGCTGTAATATCCACCTACATTTTTTAGCACGCCTCTAAAATATTACAATCTTCATTAAAGTCTTTTGTATCGATTGAATAAAACTCGTGAACAAACGAACTCGATTTCTTTCGGCGAGATTATGGGTTCCGGTATGGCTTGGAACTAGTCGAACTTCCGTCAATAGTCAGATTTATTTTATTAATTTTGACATAAGTGTGTAAATTATTATAAGAACAATGAGATTTATTTTATAAAATCTGTCACTTCACGACAAGGAAGTCTCACATTGAATTATTATCATCATATTAGCAAATTGGTAGTTTGATCTTGCGCATCCCGCATTTAAGCACCTAAATGTGGAGGTAGTAATGATACACTTGTTATACTAAAATATGCCATTTATAATGCATTATGACATTTATATTAAACGCCTACATAGAATTCTCCCACAATGAAGGAAGATACTGTGAAGGTCTAATGATAATGTCACTTTTCTTAAGCAATACATAAACTATTATTTTGCATCCTTTTGCGATGGTCTCTGAACAAATTGTATCTTATCTGATACGTTTAAATGGCAATTCTTGTGTATAAATATTTATATTTAATCTGAACCTTGAAAACAGCTGTAATGATTTTCATAAATTTAAGTATAAGTACAGAGGTTTTCGGTAGCGATAAATAGAACTAGACTTCTTTAGCGGTTGCAGGAGCGCAATACGCTCGATCCGCAACCTCGGCTGAACATCGGCCCTGCTAGACCCCATCGTGGGGGTCTACTGGCCCGTTGAGGTGCGCGCGGATTCATTTTCAGACTATGTTAAAAACAATTCCAATCGCAGTTCGGTCATCCAAGTACTTATTTATCATTCACGCGTTTCGCGTTTGATCTCCTTCCACGGTGTCGCAGTTATACGATTTTACGGCATTACTAGTATGACATTCTTAGCAATATTTAAATTAAATTATATACGTAGGCAACACTTATATTTTTCAGAAAAAACTCGTGTTTGGACACCCAAGAGTTGAGAAATGTTTCTATACCAACTCGCTTTCTTTTTTCATTTTCACATTTGCATATATCCGTTGTGTTATTGTTAACTAGAAGTAGGTCGTTATAAAATAGGACAGCAGCGAGGCTGATAGATAACCTTTGACCTTGGTGTCATGTCGCGTCAACAATACTGATTGTGGAAAGGGAAGTATCCTCTTAGGAATTTCTGTAGTATACATTGTGTGTTTTTCAACCTCTGGGTCGCTTGCCCCTGGGGTTCGCAGAGTCTGTTTAAGTAGGTTAGGAAGGTCACGCTTTAAAGGGATTTATAATTAGTTGGCAAAGCCATTTCAGTTGAAAAAATAATGAAGCTTAAAGGTATTTTAGTGCGAAAATAGTTAACAAAATAAAAAACGTAATTTGGCTGCCGCGCTGTGGCCGTTTTGCTCGAGACTTGGCTGGGCCACTACCGTGCCCCCAGATCATTTAAAACAAGAACCAAGTTTAGTAAACAAAATATAACATTACTTCTAAGATTTTTTCTATTTTAAATATTAGACGGGGCGGTGTTGAATACGAATTCACTATGTATTATTATAAAACAAATAAATATTTTGGATTGAGTTATTGTCGCTAAATCAAATAAACAAATGCAATGCAATTCAAATAAAATCAAGCTACATAATATTATAAAAAAAGTCTTTGTTTTTTTTTGGTAAAACGTGCTAATGTCCGAATTTAGTGGTTCTAATTGGGAATTTCATTTATTGAGGAAGGCTATAGGATACAAATAAGCAGCGGTTGAAACTGCGTGGGAGTGGCTAGTTGTTAATAAAGATGAGCTTGACTTATTGCGTTGTAAGTGGTGACAAAACTATACTTGTATACCAGAATGGTCTCCAGAGAGTTTACTGTTCATATAATAACTACGCAAGAAGCTTCATATTGTTTGAATAAAAGATACAATATTTTGCTAACGAACTATACTTATTATGTAACACGGCCAAGACCCGGAGGATATGGAACGTGGTTTTTTTTATGCGATAGGTCGGCAAACGAGCATACGGATTACCTGATGGTAAGCCATCAGCGCTGCCCATGGACACCCATAACAATGGAGGAGTTACGAGCGCGTTGCCGATCTTTTGGGGATTGAGAATTTGGAAATTTTGGAATTGTGGAGGTATTGGGAGAGGGTAAGGATTGAATCTCTGGTAATCTCACCCAAACGGCAAAACACAACGCTGTGGTTGTTTCACGCCGGTTTTCTGTGAGGCCGCGGTATCACTCCAGTCGAGCCGACCCATTCGTGCCGAAGCATGGCTTCCCCACACTTATCAAACTTGTGGTGTTTTAAAGTCAGTAAGAGTCGATGCACTCATCTCGCCCCAACAATGAGAAGATATATGACGTTTGCCCCTCAAAAAAAAAATTTGATTCCCAGATTTTTATTGACTCTATTCTATACAACTACGCAGAATGCTGAATATTGTGGGCAAGATGCAAGAAAATGCAGATGTTTAGGTAGTTAAAAACATAAAAAAATATAGTCGAGAGCTAATACAGGATGCTTAATATTAAACATTGTTTCTGATAACGTTTCATAATTATGTTTACTAACGCAACACCGACGAGTGGTATTGTAAAACTCGTCATAGATAAACTTGTCATATGTGCTAAATGATATTTTATACTGTAAATAATCCATTGTTTAATGCTAAGCACATCTTCAGGCAGCATTTATTAGTTATTAGATAAATAAGAGAAACTTGTATGTACACAGAGTCCTTCTTTTAATAGATTTTACGCCGCAAGGGTTTTCAACAGTCAAAAAAGTCAAAAGTCAAAAATCATTTATTTCAATGAGACCTTCACAGGCACTTTTGAACGTCAATCAAAATTTTGAAGATGTAGTGTCAGTCTATCGGTCGGACCTCTTAGTGAAGCTATTTGCTCGTTCCAAAGTGTAGATTCCGATGAAGAAGAATGAGTAAGAAAAAGATTTCCCTTAAAAACTCTTTTAAACTATTCTCATATGGCTCCTTGTGTCTTTGTTTCCAGGTACAGGATCGAACGCTCTTTTGCGAACCCCTGAAGGTGAACAACATGGATGTGGTGGTTGGGGGTACCTTCTAGGAGATGAAGGCGGTGGTATGTACTGCATTATACTAAATTATAAATAGTGTCTTAAGTATAGTCTTTACTTTAGAGCCATGCTTCGTTTTTTATTCTCCTAAAATAATATCTTCTGATTTATTTCGTTGCGGGATCCAAGACAGTCATTCATGTCCATGGGACGCGCCGGACTTCAGTGTTTTGGGTTTTTTCACGGTTCTATCTACTGTAGATCCTGGCTTACAGGAGTTGCAGCGGTTTCGGGAGGTTGCGGCGGGCTTATCCCATTAAAACAAGCCAAATGTGACCAAAAACACGAATTTTCCGCCAAGTACCAAATGGTAACTGACCTAAATATGTAATGTTAGCGAAAATTCTAATAATATTTTTATGTTTAATATTACATATGATATTCATTTAAAAAAAGCCATGAGTATAAATGTGGATGGATGGAGAGGGAGACCAAAGAAAATATGGATAGATTGTGTGAGAAATGATATGGAAGACAGAGGAGTCAGTGATAGCGTGACGGGTGACAGGACAGAATGGAAGAAAAAAAAACATATTGCGCCGACCCCAAATAAAACGGGACAGCGCAGGAAGATGATGATTACATATGATATTTGTAGTTGATAGATATACGAGTGTATACATATACTTAGAGTCATTAATAATTTAATTTTGTTTAAAAAACTGGTCACAATTTTTCCGTGTTTTGTTTTTCTTCGTTGCACCGAAGTTCTCTTTCCATCACCTTAGGGTTGGCTTTCAAGAATACCTATGGCATTGAGCCCACACTTGTATTGTACCTACTATTGGTTTCAAATGTAAAATCATTAAATAAATATTACTATATTCTACAAATCTCTTTACAGCTTACTGGATAGCCCACAAAGCCGTTAAGATGGTCTTTGACGATGTCGACGGCTTGCAACCTTCACCGTACCCAACTGATAGAGTTTGGGAGGTTATAAAGGAACATTTTGAAGCTGACACCAGAGCTGATCTTCTACCACACGCTTATAAGCACTTCGACAAGTCTATGTTTGCCGGTAAGTGAACCTGTTTAGTAAAAACTCTTTTGACTAATGTTTTATTGTCTATTAGCTTTTGCCCGCGACGCCGTTCGCGTGGAATAGTGACTTCCTGCAGATTTTTGGTATAAAAACTATCCTATGTCCTTTCTCGAGTTCCAAACTATGTCTGTACTGTGAAGAAAAGATAGACAGACAGACAAAGTTACTTTCGTATTAGTTTGGATTATATCTATGACTAGCTACTCTCGCGACGGTTTCACCTGCTGCTCGGCTCCTACTGATCATAGCTTGAAGTCTTGTTCGATAAATGGACAAAAAATAATTGTTCATTTTAAACCAGTAGTTCCGGAGATGAGCGCGTTCAAACCAACAAACCAAAAGTTATGCCAAAACATAAAATCCTCTTTGATCAACAGGAGTGACATCAAAGCTATCATCGTTAGCCTACCAAGGCGACGAGCTGTCTCGCCACATATTTTCCTGCGCCGGCGCCGCACTAGCTTCCCACACGGCTGCGCTCTCGGTCCGAAGCGATGCGCCACGACTGCGCGTTGTATGCGTCGGTTCTGTGTGGAAAAGCTGGGATATACTCAAGCCTGGTTTCCTAAAACAGCTGAGGAATAGAAAAGTAAGTTAAATAGGTATGATTAAATTTAAAAATTGACTTGGAGAGTCGTGGTGGCCCGGAGGTTAAGTGGCCCGTTTCTCATACACGAGAGTTCGAAATCTGGGAAGTACCAATATGAGTCTTTCCGAGTTATATGTACTTCCTACTATTATAATTAGTTAGACACCACTGATTTACGGTGAAGAAAAACATCGTGAAAAAACCTATTATAAGTTTGAAATCGCTAATCCGCTTTGAGTAAGCGTGGTGATTAATACTCAAACCTCCGCGTGAGAAGAGATCTGTGCTCAGCAGTAGGCACTTATATCCGATCCGGTCTCACTCACACTTATACTGACTAAAAACCTCTCTTGCTGCATGCCGGGACCCATTATTGGGCTTGCATCCGTTGGCATTATCTGTCAATAACTCCAAACCAACACACACATCACAGTAATGTTATTTTGTACCTTTATGATCAAGTTTTTGTGGCGTCTAAATTAATTGAAAATGTCACTTTGGTACTTGCTAGGGTTTGGACCCTCAATAACATTGAACATTATCTTCTTCATCCATTTTCAAATAATTAATAAACAAATTCTTTCTCTTTACAGGTGAAAACTGAATTAGAATTGGTGAGACTTCGGGTTTCAAGCGCCATGGGAGCCGCTTGGCTGGCAGCTAAGCACGTTAACTACGAACTACCTAGAGATGACTCCGCTTTCTGTTCAGTCTTCTACACTTACTACCCCGAAGAAATACTTAACGGCAATGGAGATGCCGTGAACGGTGTTGCCGTAAACGGAGATGCCGTAAACAATGTTGCCGTAAACGGTAAAGCCGTAAATGGAAAACTGAATGGTAATGGAATAGCTAACGGTAATGGGAGTATTCATACTGAAAATTGGAGCTAATGGTTGTTTTATTTGTTGTTGAAAGTTGAACAGCTTGGTAAAGATTTATTGACTTTTTTCTCTAATTTGACTACTATTTTGAAAAGGTTCAAGAAACTTGCGTACTTTGAAAAGGCTGGCAACGCGCCTGTGACTCCTATGATGTTGCGGGTGTCCATGGGCGGCGTTGATCACTTAACATCAGGTGATCCTTCTGCTCGTATACCTCCTATACCATAATAAAAAAAGGTTTGGTAGGTTCTCGTTGTCGATTCACCTCCAGGTTTAATTCTTCGAAAATCTAATTAAAAATAATGTACGTAACTTGTACTTCAGTGCTTACTCCTACTAACTCCATAACCTTTATAAATATTCGATGCAAAAATTAATCTGACTCAGTAGACCAAAGACAAGCTTGACATTTGATTACGAACCTAATTACATCACAAGATTAAAGTTCAAATGAGTTCAAGTAGAGACATTTACAAATGTAGGCAATTTACACTCAATCTTCTTGCAATTTTAACCTCTACAGCTTTCATGGTAGAGTTCATTATTCTATTTACGCTATATTTTTACCAAGCTGTTATTCAAAGTTGAACGCAATTTTCACAAAAGTTATGTTGTAGTGCCAAAATGGAAAGAAAGATGATAAAATTTTTTATTTTTATTTTTATTTTACTTTATTGGGACATAAAACAGTTACACATTACAATAAAGTATGACACAATATATTTAAAACTAAGTAAACGTGTAACCCACACCAATGTCCGCGAAATAATAGCTTAAAAAATTATTAAACGCGTGCGTTAATCATACAGGAAATTTAGTAGGGAATTACTCGTGTGTTATTTGAGGTAATAAGAGTTAGATAACTACTTTAAGGATTCAATAGCCATCCTTTTGAACTTAGAGTGCGTAAGTGCAAAGATATCTAATTCGATGAAGTGTGTGTTATACGTATCTACGATGCGTCGAAGAGGCGCCCGTGCGCCAGCGTGGGTTCTGCACCTGGCGGTGTGGAACAGCCGAGGCACGCGCGCCCCTCGGCCCATCACAGTTCTAGGTACAATGTAACATATGCTATTAGTAATATCTGGACAATCGAATCTGTTATTACACAAACCATGAAGCATCATGGCCATAAGTAGGCTGCGTCTTGACTCCAGGCTCTGAATCTTGTAACGTTTTAATAATTGAGTGTATGGTAATTTCGACTTGGTGCATTTGTAGTGCATAACACGTAAATATTTTTTTTGAACCATTTCAATTCTTTTTATATAAACATCAAAGATAGGACTCCAAATCGGGACTACAAATTCTAATTGAGAGCGAACCAAAGCTTTGTATAGCAGTAGAAACGTAGATGGTCTTTTAAAGTCGCTTGAGGATCGCATAACGAAACCAAACATACGATACGCTTTGTTAACAATGTTATCAACATGGAGATTGAAATGCAATTTCGAGTCCACCACAACCCCAAGATCTCGAATGTGATCAACTCTTTGTAGATGGGTACAATTGAGACTATAATCAAATTGTATAATGTTTCTGTTTTTTGTGAAAGTGATTGCGTTACACTTAGGTAAGCTAAGCTGAAGTTTGTTGGAAGAACAATAAAGGGGTAGCCTATCGAGGTCTTCCTGTAGAAGTAGGCAGTCTTGAGTGCTCTTGCAAGACTTATAAATCTTAACGTCGTCGGCGTACATAAGAAATTGGGAGTGAATGAAGCATTTCTTAATGTCATTAATAAACAGGGTAAAGAGTAGGGGACCCATTATTGAGCCCTGGGGCACTCCGGAGGTGACAATAATTGAGTTTGATTGGAAACCATTGATTACTACCTTTTGGGATCTGTTAAATATATAAGCCATGAACCATCGTAACAAATTGCCACGGATACCATTATATGCTATTTTATCTAAAAGCAGTTTATGGTCCACCCTGTCAAACGCCTTCCGAAAATCCGTGTACACAGCGTCCACTTGAACTTGCGCATCCATATTTTTAAATATAAAGTCTGTGAATAGCATGAGATTAGTATTCGTCGAACGTCGTTTGACAAATCCATGCTGCTCACTAATAATGAGATTATGAACATGAGAGTACACTTCACTATGTACAAGACTCTCAAAAAGCTTAGACAAGGTGGATAGTATAGAGATAGGACGATAATTTTGTATATTATTTTTATCGCCACTCTTAAAAACTGGTGTGATATGTGCCCGTTTCCAAATATCGGGAAAAAAGCCTCCTCGTAAACATTTATTAAATATAATATGAAGTGGCAGTACAATGTTTTCTCCGGTTTTCTTTATGAAGACGGGTGGCAAGCCATCGGGACCAGCACCTTTATTTAGTTCTAATTGTTTTATTGCATTATGTATAACATTTACCGGTAAATAGATTTCAGAGATATAGGGCGAATTATTTGCATATATGCTCGGTGGCTGCCACATCGCAGGGTTCAAATTAGTAGGTTCATAAACGGAGGTGAAAAAGGTGGAAAACATGTTACATATTTCGGTTGGATCATTTGAGTTAAGATTTTCAAGAAACATGTTAGCTGGAATCTCCGCCCTGCCCTTCCTATGTGAAACGTATGTCCAAAAATGTTTAATGCTAAGCGGTATACTATCTTCGACTGATTTCATGTATTTTTTAAAGCAATTGTCACATTCAAATTTAAAACGTTTACGGTGAGTAGAAAAACTTACATAATCCGATGCATTACCATACGTTTTCCATTTCAACCAAGCTTTTTCTTTGGATTTGAAAATACGAATGAGGGAAGGTGAGAACCACAAGGGAAAATCAGAGTTCCTGATACGAGACAGCGGGATATGCCTTTTAATTATACTATAAATTTTATCGTAAAATGCGTTAACCGATTGTTCAGCAGAAAGGTCGCAAAGCAATTGATTCCAGTCTAACATGCTTAACTCGTCATTAATTAATTCATAATTCGCTTTAAAAAAATTATGTCTCATAGATGAGTTACGTTTCATTGGTGTAAATTTCGTAATAAATGATGTTGCTATCGAGAAAGGTGGATGGTAAGCATCAAGCGGTAGTAATGGCGTACACGTTTTAGACTCACATTCAACATTAGACAAAAACAAATCCAATATACGCCCCAAATTATTTCTTAGTGTGTTGTATTGGAAAATATTAGATAAAGAAATAAAGTTGCATAAATGAATGTCCAAATTATCAGTCGGTTGAGGAACAACATAATTACATCCACTACAATTCAGCCACTTAATGTCAGGTAAATTGTAATCGCCCGTTATGTAAATTGCTTCTGTACTAATGTCGTTAATGAAATCAAGTAACGTATCAAAATGTGATGTGTACAAATCGTCCGGAGAACGCGGCGGTATATATGCTGCACTTATGATATGGCGCTTTGTTGGGTGCGAACCCGGCAGTTGCACAAATACATGTTCAATATTAGCGTGAGAGGGGCGCACCATAATGTTAGTTGGTCGTAATGAGCGTAGGACGGCTATCAGAACCCCGCCTCCGTCACGTTTCCCAGTGGCGCAGCGGTCGCGGTCGCATCTGAACACTAAATAACGGTCGTCTATAAACTCAGCGTTGGATATGTTCGGTATAAGCCAGGTCTCTGTTAAAATTATTACGTCATAGGAAAAAGACAAGATATTCATAAATAATGTATGTAGCTTGGTACGCAATCCACGACAGTTTTGATAATAAACATTTAGATTGTATTTATCCATCGAAATTAGAAGAAATATAAATGACGTTACCAAAACAAAACCTGGAGCCCAGTTCAATTACAGTTTTTGTCCTAAACAAATAAGAGTGTGTTAAACGGTAATCGTAGAAACACAACTTAATACATGTTATCGATAGTAGCAAATACAATTGAGAAAAATGTAGGTAAAATGATATATAATTACTGTATAAGTGAATACCAAAGTTAAATGTGATTGTTAAAATAGCAACTGCAACTAGAATTAGGATAAGCTTACAGGTTATTAACACAAAACAAATCAGATATACATTAAAATTTAAGTTAATAGTACGTATGTTTTGATAATTGAGGGTTATCGTAAAATATTTTTCACTCGCATCATTAGTAGAAATACAGAGTAATGTTTGAGTCAGAGAGCACAGATTGTATGGTAAACAAAATATCAAGTAATAAGTTAAGTAATACAAGTGTAAGTGTAAGCGCACTTTTGCATAATTATAATTAACGTTATTAAATAGTTTATTTAGATTCTTTATTATAGGGTTTGATTTTAGTGAAGTCTTTTTCGGAGCGAATAGTAAAAGCTGCTTCGGAAATATCAGCGCGAACGAGTATGACTCCGTGTTTGATCCAAACAAATCGATGCCCGTTTTGCTTAGCAATCTCCTTTGTTTGACGAAATAAGTTCTTATTATGTAGCGTAAGATGCTCGTTGATATATATTTTCTGTTGGGGATTGCAACTCAAATTAAGTTCTTCAGATGTGATTCCCTTTTTGAGACGCGCCGCTGCAATGAAGTTATCACGAAGTATTTGGCCGGAGAGTTTTACAACTATGTTCTTTGGCTTTAAAGATTTCGGATTCATTAGAGGAACACGATGAATAGCAATGACATCACGAGGTGATAACGGCTGCTTGATTAAGGTGGCAATGTTTTCAAAGATCGACATTAGATTTTCACCGCGCTTCTCAGGCAGATTACTTATCTCGATGTTACAGTTCCGGGATTTCTGTTCAGCGGTTTCCAATTTAGTTTCCAGTATTGCAATCCGTTGTTGGACTGCATCAGGAGAAGAAACCTTTTCCTCGAGCAGCGTCACACGTGATCCAAAGCCCTTCAAGTCCGCATCTAGGCGATCATATTTGTCGCTTATGAACTTGATGGATGACTTGACGTCTTCAAATTTGGATAAAAGTAATGCACATTTTTCATCTTGTTTCATTAAGCAAGTTTCGAGCATGGATTTTATGTTTGCCTGGAAGTCTTTGAGTTCGTCACGCCAGTCCGGGTCGCTATTATTGCTCGATATGCCTTTACGAAATGTGACGTAAGGGGGAGGAGACTCCTTTTCTATTAAAGACCCATCAACACTCATTTCACCTGATTGCGTTGGATTGTCGACGTCACTAATTTGATCGTAGGTGCTGTTTATAGTATTCATGACAAGTAAGTTATTAGTCTCTGTCCGTAACACTACTCTGTGTAATGCAGGTAAACGGGTTCGCGCGCACAAAAGACTGCCGATAACACCGATGGGTTTGCTAGTCACACATGCACTGTTACGCACACTAAGTTATTATTGTTTTAAGTTACACTGAGTAGTAACGAAACGACCGGTTTGCTCCGGGGCGCACGACGGAATGAAAATATACTGAATGATCTAATAACGATTGTCATTTTTGTGAATATTGCGTTTCATTATTAACGTTTAATTTTTAAATTAAGTAACAATGAATTTTATTATACCAAATGGATTGTAGAACAAGATGGTAAAAGTATGTGGTACAGTTTTGCGAAATGTACTTTTTATGTTACTGTAAAAGTTCGGTGTTGGTAAAACTTTGGTCTTACTAGTCATACTAGGGAAATAGACTATCACTAAAATCTTTATTCAAAACAGCAAAAGCACGAGTTGCTCCTTCGCGGAAATAAGCTAATATTA